ATGATGTCTGCCTATCTGCTGTTCAATTTAGTGGAAGAGAGGGTTCTGTACCGTATGATTTTCCGGGTTTAGAAGTTAATATTTGGCTTTTGATCTGATGAAATGTTCGTATTGGTGAAGTGAGGTGGGGGTTATTTTGTAGAGATAGAGGAATGTTCTATGGAATGACTGGTGTCTGAGGTTCAGATTCCAATATATTTGGCAATGAAGACTTGATATTGGGTATGCTTTTAGTTTAAAATATCTTCATAGGTTTGGAACTGAAATTCTCCGTCAACTTTTGAAATATTTGGTTTTAATACATAATTTTAAGGATTCCTAAACTCCAGGATATTCTTTTGTGTGTTTATTTATGTTCGGAATCAGGTACATTAACGAATGCTTTGTATGTGCAAAGCTTTCAAACTCTTGAGTAGTTGTGTCATTTTCTATGTATAGTTACTTATTAATCGAAATCTTCGTCAACTGATCATCTGTTGTCATTTCTGAGAAGTTTATCAGCGGTTCATTATCAGATATTAGCATCGGAATTATCGTCTTGATCGGCTTAATTATCGTTATTATCATTCAACTCATCATTTTAATCGCAATTCTTCTTATTATCGCGCATTTGCACAATTCTCATTCTCATTTCTTGTTCTTTTTATTGTTTTTTCTTGTTGTTTTTATTTGAATTGGTCGAATACTTTTGATTTTTGTCATATTTGATGAAAAAATTAACACATTTCGACATAATTTATCTTAGAATATCGATGTTCATTATGCGCGATTTTGCTTCGTATAGAACTGGTATATTATGCTTATATGCATCCAACTATGTAAGCCGTGATCGTTTTCAATTGATTTTGTCTTCGAAAAGTTGAAAAAGATTGAAATCTTGGAATTCAATATATTGACTGGATGTCTGTCTATGTGACAATTGTAATTTGATCATTAGAAAGTTTATCTTATTTTTCATTCATTAATCAGATATTGTCTACAATAGCTCATTACGAGTATTTGTTCTTTGTTATGTGTTGTCGTTTGTGTGGCTTTGATCTTTCAGTTTATTGCATCGTTATTTATTTTAGCTATATTGTCATTCTGAGGTCAGTTCGCGTGATTCGTTCTAAGGGAATGAAAGTTGTGATTTTGATACGTTTTACGCGAAAATTCGTTGTGCTGGCTTGAAAATCCGGCTGAATATGTTTGCTTGTGTCAAGCAGAGACTTATGAAGGAGTTGTTCTGGATTGGATTTGGTTGATAAATTAATATATGAATGGTTAAAATTGGGTGGTGAAGCAATTTGATTTGGTGGTGCATTTGGTCGATTCATTGAGTGATATTTGAGTAAGATATGCTGATAAGATATTGGAGGTTAGAATGATTTGACTGACATTTTTGGAGGTTAGAAAATTGAGTGTGAGCATCATTTTACGGTTTAATTGGAATGATTTTGGTTGAACGGATGCAATATGGGTTTATTACAGTATTGTGCAATTGTTACAGTAGTATGAGATGCGATATTACAGTAATGTGGAATTACAGCAGTATGGATTTGTCTAGTAATATGGGGTGCAATATGGGATGAGGGATTCAATATGGGATTTTTACAAAAATGTGGAATTCGATACGGGATTTGTAAAGGAATATCTATATTTTCTTTCAAAATTATTCACTATTAGTGGACAGGATGTGCAATACGATTGTTCCTTTGGAGACTTAACATGAATATGATATTTCAAGACTAACAGCAGCCATCAGTTATCCATCGAATCAACAACAATAGTCAACGACGTCTCAATCGTATTTCGAGGTTAATTGTGCGATTTTTCGTCTTTAACAAAGATTTTCAGGATACAATGTAAGTTGAATACCGGGCGATTCGTGCCTTATATTAAATTTTATGAATTTCTACCCATTTCGATGGGTTTTTGCCCATGAATATGCTTAATTCAGGTCGGATAAAATGCAGTTGAGAAGGCGATTCGATCGCTTTTCAAATGAACGGCAATTGCGAGGATATATTTGCTTCAGTACATTCAGTTCGCAATTGCATTGTGCTTGCCACAGCATTGCCAAAACATATGATTCTGCATTGGTTGCAAATGTTTATTTATTTATTTATTTATTTACATAAGCACAACAATAAGGTAAAGTATTGCTTCGCACTGTTTTTCACTTTAATATTTCATTGAAATATTAGAAAGGAAATTAGTTTCTGTGCTAATTGCAGGAATTTATATTTTAAGCGAGCAATTTCATATTATTTTATTGTTGTTTTGCATGCAATGCAATTGTTATTTTAATCTCTTTCGTATTGAAAGCATTTGGATGTTGGAAATTCAGTTTTTTGTCATTGAACGTGACTGAGAATTTGTTATTTTTTCATTTGGTTTGATAGTTTTCGTGGAATTCTTATGGATTATATAGTTTAATTTAGTCGTTTTGTTTTCGTTTTGCGTTCGTCTTAAACGGTGTTTATAAACGATCCTATCATGCAAATCCACGGTTGATTGATTTTCATTGAATCTGACCTCAGGCTGGAAGCACGGGGCGCGAAATCGTACAGTCAGCATACTGGAAATTCTGGGTAAATTGCTAAGAGGTGAGCTGTGCTGGCCGTTAGCTGAGAAGATTTGTGGAGGTGGTAGTGGTGGTGCTGGTGCTGGAGAGAGAATGGTGAATCGAAGTAGTAATGTTGGCGGCACTGCTGGCACAGGCACTGGAACTGGAGGTTTCATGGGAGGGCCAAAACCTGCGAATATCTCACAGTACACATTGGAGCGGGCAAATCGAACTCGTCTAAGCATCGAGAATTTCTACGCACAGGCATTGCTGCAATGTCAGGAACGTGAGAAACGTCGACAGAAACTTGAGGAGAAAATGGCCACTGAAGGTGATTTGATTGATGTGGTTTGATTGGTTTAGTGTTTTGATTCATTAGAGCAGAAATTTGTTTTCAGTGTTTTCAGTAGTATGGAAGATGATTCGGTTTTGTTACGATGTAGTTGATATGTTAGACAGACATCTTGGTCTGATTAATGCTATCATGGAAGATACAGAAAACTTCGATTAGGAATCTTTGAGTTGTAGGGTTGTCTGAGGCGGAGAAAGAGGAACGTCGCAGGACACTGATGGCCAAGGAGACGGACTTTCTGAGGTTGAAACGAACCCGACTGAGCGTTTCGGATTTCACATCGTTGAAGGTGATTGGACGAGGAGCATTCGGAGAGGTGAATTGACATTTTGGTTTGGTGTGTTCAATAGGGAAGATTATTTGGGATGTGATATGTTTTGCATTGGAGTTTAGTAGCGTTGTGCTGATTTTAGGTGAGATTGGTGCAGAAGGTGGACACGGGTCATGTATACGCAATGAAAATCCTGAGGAAAACCGAAATGCTGGAGAAGGAACAGGTAATATCAATGCAATGATTTAACGGCACGAACATTTGAGAGCATCTCAATTATCGAGAGAATTTGAAATCGTAATAGAGATGAGGTTTTTTTAGTGTTAGAAATTATATTGAAACATTTTGCTCGCGTATTGATTTTATTTGTTTTTTTTTTCAGACGGCTCATGTACGCGCAGAACGTGATATTTTATCGGAAGCCGATTGCGAATGGGTTGTGAAAATGTATTTTTCATTTCAAGATCCAGCGAATCTTTATTTGGTTATGGAATTTCTGCCAGGAGGTGCGAATTTTTNAATCTGAACTTCATCCATCGAGATATCAAACCGGATAATTTGTTGCTGGATGCGAAGGTTAGTTCGTTGATTATATGAGTTGCTGGTGCAACATAATGTCGCTTATTCATATGTTCTATTCAAATACAAATTTTCAAGCCTTATCGATAAAGTTAACGAGATTCGAGTAATTGAGCCATTCCAGGGTCATATAAAGCTATCGGACTTTGGACTGTGCACAGGGCTGAAGAAGGCGCATCGCACTGAGCACTACCGCAATTGGCCAAGCCAACTACCTAAAGATTTCGTCACGAAGCCGTTCGAATCGAAACGAAAAGCCGAAACCTGGAAGCGTAATCGACGTGCGATTGTGAGTTGGTTGTGTTCTGTTGTAATTGAATTTAATTTTTAAGACCTATGATCGTGTTGCATTGAACTGAACATTGAAGGCATATTCAACGGTCGGAACACCGGATTATATAGCACCGGAAATATTTCAACCGAACGGTTATACGAACTCGTGTGATTGGTGGTCGTTGGGTGTGATTATGTACGAAATGCTAATTGGTAGGTTGTTATTGAAACGATTCATTTGTGTCGGTATGATATGTCTAGTTTTGGAATGTTTTTGTTATTAGTTTTGCGATTTTTATTAGATTATGGAGTGTTATATAAATGATTATGATGAGTTCGATATGGAGTGTACAATTGGAAATGAGGATTTGATATGGATTTGCTGATGGATTGATTTCGGCATTGAGTATGAACTGTGAGCGAGTTTGGTCTCTTCAGGATATCCGCCGTTTTGCTCGGAAACCCCGCAAGAGACCTATCGTAAAGTGGTGAACTGGCAGCAGACGCTTATCTTCCCACCTGAAATGCCGATTTCGGCTGAGGCGAGAAAGGTTTATCCGAGTTGTTGTTATTATGATTGTAATGATGGAAGTGATGAGTCGATTACATCGATCGATTTATGATTCTTTCAGACGATCAGAGAGCTGTGCTCTGAAGCTGAACGGCGTTTGGGCCATAAGGGTGGTGTGGAAGAGCTGAAGGATTGCGCATTCTTCAAAGGAGTGGACTGGGTGAATATTCGGTGAGTGGTTTTTGTGGGATGGATTTGTTCAGTTTTAAGTCTCATTTGAAGTTGGAAGTTCATTTGGATTGCATTAAATAAATTGATCTTTCAGTGGTAAATTGTTAAATTGAATAAGGTTCTTATTAGATGTTTGTGTTTGTATTTGAGATAGTTGAGGAGATTTGTGCAAGGAATTGAGATTGAATTGAATGAATGGATTTGAAATATTCAGGAAGAATCCAGCACCGATTCGGATTGAAGTGAAGAGTATAGATGACACGTCGAATTTCGATGACTTCCCCGATGCAGATCTGGCAATCCGTATGGAATTCTTTTTGTTGTTGTTTTGATATTTGTGATTGTTGTTATTCAGTTTTCCTATTATTGTTCAATGTCATTGTTTATTATTATTGTTATTGTTATATGATTGTATTGTGAAAATCATTATTATCATTATTACAGCACAATGCAAGCCGGATGTGGCTGCATCAAAACGGCAACCGAGCGATAAAGGCGAATTCACGAATTACACTTATCGACGGTTCGATGGTCTCACTCAGAGTCGACATTACGAGGGCTCTGCTCCGGTTTGTTATTAACATGATTATTGTTTTTGAACAGTGCGATTGCTTTTATTAATTATAAATATTGTTATTGTTATTGCAATTATTATTAATGATATTGTGGTGATCATTTCAGTCTGCAGTCGGAGCTTTCGAAACGCAGATGGCCGATAATAATAATATCGCTTCTTCATCCACTTTGGCTCCACAATCGTCCAACAACAAATGCACACATTCGATTGTTTGAGGGATTGGTTGGTTAATAAATGAATGGAATGATTGACTGATATAAATCAGTCGATTTGTTTTAATGTTTTGTGTGGTTTTGAGACAATGTGATAATTTTGTAATGGATAAGGAGTATATAGTAGATTTGTGTTCGTTTTTGTTGATGTGATGTGGATTGATTGCATTTTGTTTTTGTGAAGAGTTTAGTTTATATGTATAGTTGGTATGTTTGGAACGGAGAAATTCAGCCGTATTATAGATGTATTGTTGTTTTGAGTGGAGGGATGTTTAATTATTTGATTATGATTCATACGT